TAACACTAGCCCACCCTGAATATCATATATGCAGATTCTATGCTCAAATCAATGCTCAAATCCTAGTCTAAAGCATTATTAAGATTTTAGCTGATGATTTATGATCATGAATCGAAGATATGACTCTTCACAAAACATCCAAAAGGAGGGTGAGTTGTAGAAATATCCCGAATCGATCCCCCACACCATCATTGAGGTGAAGAATGCGAACGGTCACGAGACGGAACATCGACAATGACAACGCTTGAAGAGATAAAGCTACGAAGAATATGAATTGCGGCAGAGCACGCTATCATCCTGAACAGACGACGACAGGAAAAAAAATCAATATCCAGATGCCACACACCACTCTTTTACGCGCACCCGCGCGTATCACCGGTGGAGGAATGAGGGTGACTACCCGAGCGAGTCCAAAAAACGGTGACAAAACTCAAAACCCAAACAAATTTCCGAACGAATACGGCCTTTGATACTGGACGCGACGCAAAGGGAAAACTCAACGCAATCTAGGACGTTAACGAAGGGCAGGAGAAAAGAACGACAGGCAAAGGCACGGAGAACGATGGCCAGCGTGCCAGGGTACCCAACCCGTATAAGGAGACGGCAGGGGCAAGACCTATTGAGGACCAAGGATGCAAAGCACAAGCGATTATTGCAAAAGAGGCGGTCGACGAACTGCGCCATGGTTCGCTGGCGATACGCATCATCATTCAAAGACATAAAACACAAAGTCGTAGAGATTCACACAACAAGACGACGACTCAGGGGCGCTACTGTGATGAAGGCGTCGCCCGAAGGTGGCGATGATGGAGACGAAGCAGAACGAAGTGTGGCTGACGACGAAAATCCATGGGAGAAGGCGACGCCACGGGATGGAATCCCGAAGCACCACGCGTATGCGACACTTCTGCGGCACGATGGAACTAAAACAAAAAAAAATTACAACATTAATTGGCAAACAGGCGAACCAGGAAAACGCGGGGAACTCGGTGTCCAAGTGTCCCGAGGCAAACATCACCGACGAACCTTGGGGAACTCTTTTTCCAAGTTTTCAGAGGCAGACAACACCGCCGAAACTTCGGAGGGAGCTTGTTGAGAGAACCAAAGGTCAACAACAACAACAAAATGAAGCAAAGGCGAGAGGGAACGGACATCCAGGTCGCGGCAGTTCACTGATTCAGATGAATGCAGGCAACAAGGAAGAAGGATCACTCGACACTGCGTGTCTTGAGGCGGCGTTGCCCCAGCGTTCAAAACAAAACAAGCCAAGGAAAGAAAAGAGACAACACAGAAAAAACAAAGCAAAATAATACAAAACGGAAGGTGACAGAAAAAAAAACAAAAAACAAAAGCAAAACGTCGGCGAGAAGGATGGCACAAAAGACCAAAATAGGCCGATTGGTATATGAAAACGACGACGCTAAGAAGAAACGGTGGGAACAGCCGACGATAAGGAGCCAGCAAGGAGCGGAGTGCGACCACGGTTGTCGCCCAGAGGGCGCGAACGATGTTTCTCTAAACACCATGATCCACAGACGGCGTCCAAGGCAGTGGAGTAGAGATGCGCAGGCAGAGGCAGAACGCGTGGGCCTGGGTCATCCAAAAATCGAACGATGTACGAGCCGCCCTGATGAGCACCAATGCGTCCGGTCCACCACAATCCATCACGGGCCTTGTACCACAGTCGCGCGCCAACAGGGAGGGGCGAAGTGCTGAAACGGCGAAGCCAAGTCGCATTAAGCACAAGATCAGCCCCAGGAGGCAAATACATTGTAGCGTTCTCCACGATTCCGGGCTAGCTCCCGCTGTGCCGCGCGAGTCCGAGCCACTCGATATGTACGGTTACCCTGCTTGCTTTGGCAGGCCTCCCGGGACCAGTACAAGAGGATGTGTCGACGGAATAGATCAAGGTCGGATTCCCGTTCCCATGAAGGAGTAGTCAGGCCTACCCAATGCGTCTGGCACAGGACAGCGAGAACGCCGCTACGGCCCCGCACCAGTTGATGTCCCGAGATGTAGTCGACCTCGAGGCGCCCGACAGGCACCGACACATCATCCGCGGTGACGTGGAAAGGTGGACATTTATCTCCGAAGGAGTGCAGAACATAACGCGAAAGCTCGGCGGGCAGAGATTGCGGCAAGTCGTCCGTCTCGTACGGATTGCGACAGGGCTTGCAACGAAGGACAGACACGCGACAACGAGCTGCCGGGCCGGAAAGATCGGAAGGCAGGTCCAGGTAGAGGAGTTTATGCGCCAACGGGCGGCCGTCCGGAGTGGCGTCGGCAGAGGTGGGACCCACCGCAAGAACTTTGTAGGGCCCCGTCCAGGAAAGTGCGAATTTGGCCTTGAGCACCTGTTGGTCCGTGTCCTTCTGCACACCCTGTCGAATTGTAGCAGCCGTGTTGTACACCCAAGCCCACCCGCCAACGGTAAACTGAGGGAGCTTGTGGATGGCGTCCAGCAGGGATGAATTTCGGCGTTCGACTCGCGAAATCTTCAGCGCGTTGTACTCGCGGACAAGTTCGTAGGCCCGGCGCTGGCGATCGACAGCCAGGTTGCAATACTCGAGTTGATCGCGGGCCAAGCTTTGATGACCACCTACCGTGGGATGATCGAAGACCGAAAGCGGGAGTCGCGGGATGCGTCCGATGTGGATCTCGTTTGGCGCTAATCCAGTAGACTGGTTCACGGACTTGTTGTAGGCAAACTCAACGTGCGGGAGATGTATGTCCCAATCGTTTTGCTGTTCGTTGACGACCACCGCAAGCATCTGGGCCATCGTGTGGTTGACGCGTTCCGTGCCGCCGTTGGTCTGTGGGTGGTAGGAGCTGGTGGTGACCTTCTTGATCTTCATCACCTCGTAGATCGCCATGGAGAGCTTCGAGCAGAAATGCAGTCCGTTGTCCGACAATAACGTAGTCGGACATCCCCACTTGGTCATGTATTGGTTGACGAAGATGTGAGCCGTCCCTCTCGCCGTAAATTCCGCCGCTGTAACTGCGAACATGTCGGCTCTCCGACTGAAACGGTCTGTGAACAACAAAATGTAGGAGTTGCCCTTGGCAGTCACTGGCAGAGGTCCGAAGAAGTCGACGCCGACGACCGTACCAGGCCCCTGCGGCAATGGCATAGCGATGACGGGCCACCGAGCAGTCTGACGTGAAGTCTTGCGAGCTTGACACACCAAACACGCCCGAAGCCACCAGCGCACGGAACGATCCAAACCAATCCACTAGTAGAAGCGCTCGAGCAGACGCTGTGTACGATGGACGCCGAGATGGAATGACGCGGCCGTATGGCATGCATGAAGGACCCACGGACGCATCAGCATTGGCACGTAGACACGGGGCACGCCAGTATCCGGCAGACGAGTGGTCCTGCCGCCAGAGCGCCCAACCGGCGACGTCGCCGATTTATGTACGAGGAGGGTGATGTTGTCATCGGTCGTGTGCAGTCTGGTTTTCGCCGCCAACACAAGCACATCATCTAGCCGAGGGGAGCGAAGAGGAGCACAGAGAGTGAGCAAGCCCGGAGGGGGTGGGGAGGGAGAACCGCAAGACAGAAAACGCATAGCAACCACACACTCGCTCTCCCGCTGCTGTTCCCTAGCCCAGTCCACAGTGCTGAAACTCTGAACACAAGCCCGCATGTGGGAGGTGTCCAAATCAGGAGATTTCGAAAACAAATCAGGCGATCCAAAGGAAGAGGCGGAAGAAGGCGAAGCCTCAGCGACTGGGGCAGCCGCAGTCCGGGGTGATGTCCGCGAAGGGGACATTGTGAGTGGCGAAGTCCCGGGCGAAACCTGTAGAGAAGGCGAAGTCGGGGATGCAGGGCGCGCCGCTAACGGCGAAGACACCGGTGGCGCAAGAGCAGTCGACGAAAACGCTGATGCCGGCGTTGGGGATGGTGGCAGCAGACGCGCGGCGGTCCGGGTGGTCTTGTTTGTCGAGCGGGACCTGCTAGAGCGACGGGCAGGCGACGATGTCCGAGGGACGATGGTAGCCCGCGGCTGGCGTCCGAAATAAGCGGGACCGGTGACGGTGCCTCCGGAAACTGCGGTAGTTTTGGCCCGAGTCCGTGAAGAAATGAGCGGTCCCTGCTCCGGAAGCGAAGACAAAACGTGCACATATCTAGTCGCCAAAGACGCGACAGGAGACATCACGCGGGACGCATCCGAAGTCAATGAGGAAGCAGGCCCTGAAGATGCGAGAACAGGCGAGACGATGAAGACCCCCGGGGACCGCTGAGAATTTTCGCAGGCAATCGTTGAGTCCGTCAGAGCATCCACCCGACGCGGGTGATGTCGGCGAAAATCCCCAAAATCGCAGGGCTGCAGTGCTTGGGGCGAAAAGACTCCTGCCGTGCAAGGAGGGCGGAGCCCACCCAAACCGACCTCCGGTGTAGACGACGAGTGATAGTTGCGCCCGCAAGCCCAAATGAGGAAAACACCCGCTTGATCGACACGAATCAATGCAGTCGGGGCCGGTTTTGTCCGTGTCTTGTGCTGGTAAAGGCAACCGCGAAAGAAAATCCGCGTTGCCGTTCGCCGAACCTTTCCGATATTTCAGGGTGTAGGTGAAGTTGGACAGTAATTCCAGCCATCGTTGCACCCTAGCATTGTCTTCCCCAACCTTGCCAATGCTCTCCAATGCTTTGTGGTCCGAATAGATGATGAACTTGGTCGACCACAGATAACCGCGAAGGCGTTTGATGGCCCAAACAATGCCACCAGCCTCCAGATCCAAAACGGTCCAGTTACGCTCCGCAGGAAGAGTAGCGCGGCTGATGTACACGATGGGTCTCAACGAGCCATCGAGCTGTTCTTGTTCCAAGGAGGCGCCAAAACCGTCGATACACGCGTCGGAACACAAACGAAGAGGATGGCTGTTGTCCTCGATTGCTGCCCAATCCGGGAAGGCCAAAATCGGGGGGCGGGCGAATTCGCTTAACAACGTTTTGACAACCTTGACCATGCCCGGGCTGTACTTGACGGGGACGCCTTGTTTGAGAAGAGAGTTGAGAGGCCGCACCTTGGTGGCGAGATTCTTGAGGAATTTCCGGTAGTAGCTGAGTCCNGGCGGCATGTGCGTGAGCGCCCTAACCTTGACGCCATCAGGGGTAACACCTGCCGGAGAGATGGTGTGACCGAGAAAGTTGGCGTGCGTGGCGCCGACGCGACCATTCCCTGGAGACAGTTTGAGGTTGTACTGTCGCAGTCGTTTAAAGAACTCGATCAAGTTTAGCACGTGTCCCAGAGGTTCCTCCTCGAAACAGATGACATCGTCCAGATAAGCCAGTACACGCTCCAGACCGTGCACCACTCTGTTGATGACCTTGACGAACCAAG